CAATTTTTGAAAAATAGGTGCTAGATGAAGAAATGCAAAAATAATGCATGTTTTTGAAATTCTTTTCTGGGGGGTTTCAGCACCTTCAAACAATGAGGCATTTAATGTAAAATAATGCAAAATGCTGTCAAGCAAGTTTATCTTTCATGCCTGGCATTGCTGAAATACTTGCTCAAGAAGTCAAAGTGTCTTGCTTACACCCTACATACTGTTTATTCTGGTTCATGTGACAGACGTTAGTAAAGTTGCAGTCGTGTTGGGGTGGACAGGAGAAAAACAAGCGAGTGCTGTTTGGAACTGTACATGTGCAACTTCCTTTAAAACAAATGCTAAACAGCTGAGTGGAGGTCAAACAGTGTAAACTTTACAGTAATGGATGGTGGTTTGATGGATGTAATCAAATTCTCCACTCAACTGTGTAGCATTTGTTTTGAAGGATGTTCCACACGTACAGCTCCAAAAGGTAGAATTGATCACATTCTTTTATCCTGTATAGGTGTGAAGGCTGGCATAAATGTGCATGCAGCATGTTTGTATATTATATTGGTGAAGCCATCAATACCATTAAATGGAAACAACACCAGGCTGCAGACACGAAATCGAGAAACAAAATAGTTTCTGTCAAATTGCTCCTCAGATTTACTTTCCCGTTAACGTTAGTCAGTAGAAAAATGGGATGGAGACCAAAAGCAAAATGTTGCAACTTCAGTTGTTGCTTCAAAGACTGGGACCAGATCTGCAACCAGTCAGTCAGTTGCTGCCTCCGAAGCAGTTTTGGTGCTTTGAAGTGGTGACAAAATAGCAACGAGACTGAGTCAGTCTGCTATCAGTCTGCAACTGAATGCAGTCTCTTTGAGATTATACAGTGGTTGTGATAAATTAATTGCAAATCTCTTGCCATCTATTTCACATTAACAACTTACATAGAGTAAAGCCAAAAATTAGAGATCTGAAAGAAGTTCTTCCACAAATAGTGACACAGTTGCTGCAGAACAGCGGTTTACCTGCAAAATCACACAGCTCATCAGCAACCTTGCTTTTATATAGGAGTACAACTAGCTGAGTCAAGTCCCCTATTCCACAGAGATGTGTTGCAGACAGTAGTTAGAGTCTGCAACACATGTGTTTCATGTTAAAGTGCCCAACTTTGCAGCAGAATAAACATGATTATAGATATAGGATATGGGAAACCTTTTCAGCTTCATTACAACTGTAAATCTAATCCATGTGGATGCCGGGGTCGGGTGCGGCTAATTTGAAAAGTGAAGCTGGTCAAGTGATGTCTGCTAGGCTTCACCTCAGTGAACTTGAGTGAATAAG